AACAGACTTGAGTAAGGAGAGATCTATTTAGCAGGTATGCATAGAGGTTTCTACGTACTTCACATACAGTGATATTGATGGTAGCACGTTGTGATGTGGCTGAGCGATATGCAACTCTGTCATCAGGGTACTTGAAGCACATTCTGAGCGTCTGAATACCAGGGCTCTCCCTATCGTGCTTATTAGCGGAAGACCATTATACTCATGTGATATGTAGCCTACCATTCCTAGTGTATTATATGTCAATTCCGCCCTAGCCCGATGCAATGGTATGATTCCATAGGTCTGCCCTCATTTTGCCCCCAAAAACAGGCTCTGCGCACTTCCTATCACTATACCTCCCCAAGCAATCATGCTGATACTACCACCCTACATATCTACGACCTTCAGCTTTCTATCTACCCATCTCCCAATTCTTGTGCCACCCTGTGGCCTCGGTAACGCAGGAGAGCCACAATTCTGTCGCCTCCTTCGGGCGCTTATCGCACGTGGTGCGCTATTTTATGCGGTCACTGTATATCAGGCCACAGAGTACGTGCACCTTTCGTAAGCGACATTCACAGCCTGCTCCTAGACACGAGCTGACAGATAGTCAGATCTCCTTAGAGCATATGCTTCGGAAGGAGTATCCTTGCGCATCTGGCGAGAGTCACGGAGATAGCTCGCCGAAAAGTTCGGAGAGTCCATCAGGGAAGAGCTAGGATTGCACACCGGACACCACACTGGGGGCCTGTGCATCAAGCTCTCACCCAAAGCCGAGGGGCACACTATCCGATATGCAACTTTACCTGACCTGGTAGATTGCGCATCTCATACCAAATCTGTGTGAGCCTTTCATTATTGGCGACTCGTCGTGCCAGCTGTTCGCTCAGAAGGTTCCTCATAGGTAGATCCTACCCAAACCTGGCACAGCGTCCCATATAGTATCTTGCAAGTAGAAGCTCGTGTATGGACGCCCATTCTCGAATGCAGTACTCGTCAAGGTACTGCAAAAGACTCCAGCCCGTGTTCGCTTGTGTAAGGTTACGCCAGATGAGATAGACCGCTCACCTCGGCGACGTCCAATTTAGCTCGCCCATGTGTAGAGACTGTCACCGTTTTGGATGCGCAACCCTCCCGAAGACGCCGATACCGCCTTGAGGATCTACAGTCCCTTAAACGTCAGCTAAGAGTAGGCTCGCCTGCCTACCTGACAGATGCGCCTCGACCAAGGCTATGGAACGCCCATCTACAAGCGAGGATGGCCAGAGTTATGGTCATACGAGAAGTCTAATCCGGGTCAAGTTTCAACAAATGGAGATAGAAGCACACGATCGTGGGCCCCCATAGGACGAATCAAGTGCATCAGACAGGACTGCACACGGTGAGTAAGGATTCGTCTGTATCCGACCAGATGCGACTTCAAGAAGCTGTCCTCAAAGAACCAACTCAATCATCTTTGCCAGGCCGAAAGCCTACAGTGGCGTAGGCTGATATAAGACCCTAATAGTATTTTCAGGGGTCCCGTTGCCCACAGCTGGTCCTCTCATTTGTACCGGAGACCTGCACTACATGTCGCTGACAGCTAGCAGCCAATGCCCCTCCCCGACCTTCAATGTGGATTTTTGGACCTTCCAGATTCATGCTGTTCAAGAGTCCCTCGTGCTCGCTTCGCTGCCGGCGGCACTGTACGGTACGCACTGAGCCGTGCTGTTAGAAACGCTGAACTCACATCGCATGCAGGCATCTTTTTTATTCTGACTGTAGCCTCAGTCTACGCTCTCACACAGTACGTCATTTCATATCGTATTGTCCAAGCTTACATTATGAGCCCACTCGCGATTTGAAGACGAAGCGGAAGGCTTCAGAGGTCCTCTATAGCGCTCAGTCTGACGCTTTTCGCACTCTTCGCCTCTACAACAGCATACCTAGTCATCACCCTGCTCGCTTCGCAAAGCACTATTCTCCAGGCTATTTTTCTCTCTGCAACAGCTCTATGGGGTCTTCCGTCAACTCAATTTATCAGCGCACCTAGCTCTGCGACAATCAAAGATTATACGGGTGTCCAGAGTTGCGCAGGTACTGCCACGCTCACGATCAATGTAAGCTCCGCGTTCGTCGCACAGATCTCCTGCTCATGTACTGATGGACGTTGTCATTGGCATAGATATTACTGGGCGATTCCATCGTATGCTGGAGAGCATGCGTTCTTTGGCGAGACAATCGCTTGATCAAGACTATGTGCATCGTCTTTCTGATATCAACCTTTGGTAGGCCAGGTCTCACAACTTGCTTATATATTGACCCTGAATCTTCGTTGTTTAGGCATGGGAATTGTCGACGCCGTCTTCACATGCAATCCTAGCCTAAGTTGGACTCCTGATCACCATGTTGTGGGGACCGGATCTATGTATCAGGGCTTCTCGTACGGAGTAGCGGCGTCTGTGCTGTCGTTTAGCACAAATCTCCTGGCGACGATGCTGGTAGGATTCAAAGCTTGGTACGATGTTCTCACCTCTCAACTTTTAGTTGCTATTTCACAATATGATCCAGGAAAGCGAAGCATCATCTGCGAAAGTACATCGTGGTAGGACCCATGGGGTCGCAAATGGAGAAAGTGTTCGCAATGCTCATAGAGTCTGGAGCCGTATATTGTGCTCTATGGGTGAGTCGCTCAAGCGAGTATCTGATACAGGGGTATTTCTTGACGTCGTACGAGTGCAGGCCTTCGTCGTTGTTTGGCAGGCAGGCATGTATCAACACTCGATAGCACTTCATGCGGGAACAAACACCTATTGGGACATATTCGGAATCCTGATCAACGGGGCCCTGGTGCCTCTCATAGTATGTCCACCAGGCTTAAATGATGCTCTCGTGTCCGTTGATCATCTTTTTATCTGTTGATACAGGCTATCTACCCGACGATCATCATCGTGCTCGTTGCTCTAAATCGGTCGCATGTAGAAAATGGGCTGACGGCGACCAGCCAGACTTCCTCCAATCCTTCTCTGCGTCCTCTCGCGGTCAGGATAGACAGAACAGTGACTAGCCGATGCGAGCATCAGCCACAACGAGAATCTGCGGTGCTGTTTATCGGAGAGCAGCATTTTGGGTCAAGGGATTGTACGGAGCACTCGAGCACCCACACGTCCGACGAGCAGAAGTTGGAGGCAATGATCTAGTATTCCCCCTAGCCCTGCTCAGATGAGTGTACTACTATAATTTTACAGTCCATGACGCACTCTTGACATCAACATGAAGAGCACTAGAGCTCTTGAGAAACATCGTATTGAGTATCATTTTCCCAGAAATACACCAAACATGAGCAATCGTTAAGCGCAGTAGCCAGCACTACATACATCAGCTCAGGAACATGAGTTGGCGATGGAGCGGGATCTAGGCTTCACGGACAGCCTTGGCCAATTGGAAAGACACCGTAAGGACAGCCTACGGGATTTACATACTCGGACATCGTTGTCGCAACCGGCGTTGACAGGATCAAGAGAAGCACGTGCCGGCGGCGCTCTGACTCTTCGGCGTCTTATTCAGACGCGACCGAGTCACCCAGCATTCCACTGCCCTGTCCTCCTTGTGTCACTGGCGGCCCACCTGGATCAAGTGATCCTGCACGGGATTGAAGAAATACATGCTGTAAGGCGCACCTTCGTTATGTTGAATATAACATCCTCTGTTCACTCCAGTAACGATTGGCGCCAGTCCCGTGACAGACTACCGATCGACACGCATCGCACCGATGGTACGTAGCGTACATGGGAGCGGGATGAGGCCGACGGTGGGGCCGTGCCCATGCTTAACAGGCGCAACTGCTGTGCGTCTTTGTGCCTCATTTGTCGGGTGCCCATCGGCTGAGCTACAACCGCTGATCTCGAAGCCACGGTAACGGCGTATTTGATTACAACTACAAAAGTTGCTTTCCTTTCGGTGGCAAGTTTCACTCCTGACTAGTCTTTCTTTCCCTGCACCTCATTCTCACTCCATTCTCCCGTATCGTGGAATGCTGTCCCTACTGATCAGGGAGGATAGTTCGACCGTAACACCGACGCCGGCGCAGAACGCTGAGCTATGGACTATAGCACTAGACGTCGTATCCCGTGAGGTTATGCCTGCAATCCTCCTTCCTGCGCTGCTGCATGGTACGTGGTTTTCTGTCACTTGCCTCTACGACATACATACTCAATTATATGTGGGATGTCCACTCGTACAGGCATTTTCACGGTCCTATGCTTCGGCTCTCTTGCTACCCTCTTGTCAGTCGCCTTGCCTATCTTTTAACATCCCACTTCCTCTACAATTCCTTACTCGACGTCTCCTATAGGATCAAGCACCTTCGCCCCAAGCATAACCCTATATCTAATTTTTCCGGCATAACTACTACATTTCTTACTATCGCCCTCCTCATCTTACTTGTGTCGTCCACGGTATATTTCGTCATCAACAGTATTTCCGCGACCTATGTCGTGTTGTCCTTCACCCAGTTTGACTTTAACAAACTGGTGACGAGCGACTTGAAGGGCTTTGTCTCTCTAACAAGCTGGTTCAGGGCTGATCTCCTTGACTATTGGGGCACATTGTCCGACTGTACCGGAACCGTCTCACTAACTATCAACGTAAGCCTCATGTCTCAGGTGTACCCGTGGAATACCCGTTGATGACTTTCAAAGATTCTGATTGGAGACGCGATTGTATGGTGGCGGGCGTGCGTGGTATGGCCCCGCAATTGGCCCGTGCGGGTGCTTGGCTTCACACTCCTGACCGCGACGTTTGGTGAGTGCTATCAGGTCCTCTGCATGTATGTCCGCTCTGATTATGCTCCCCACATCGCGGCTCAATGGCATTGCATATGAAGTCACTGGCATGCTGGACAGCTCTCGTACTTGTGCTCCCCTCACGAATGGCAATATCGACTCCGACCCTTCCGGTATCTTGTACCAGGGCAGTGACTACGGTGTCGCTGCAACCGGGCTTTCCCTGGCGACAAACGTTCTGGCTACAATCCTCGTCGCTTACAAATTCTGGGACTATCGGAATGTACTGCGGGAATACGTTGTGGTTGGCTCTCAGGTCATGCGCCTTGAGAAGGCATTGGCGATGGTCCTCGAGTCTGGAGTCGCCTATTGCGCGATCTGGGTACGTCTTCTGCGTCATGTCCCCTATCCCCAAATCTTGGACCCAACATCATATTCTGCCACGCCGCTACCGTTCATCTATACATTTACTCCTTGACTCTTCCTTAGCGGCCTCATCAGTACTGACAACCAACATGCGCAATGTGGAACAGATAGTAGTCACTGTCTGGCAGGTGCTCGGGAACTCGAGCAAGTTTGCCAGTGCCTTCGAGATTCATCCCCACCCCACGTTTTTCGAGGCTTTCGGAATATTTGTTAGCGGTGCGCTCGTCCATATGATCGTATGTGCCAATCTACTCCAAGAGGTGTGCCACTGGCCTGATATGTCTGGCATCCCCGATAGGCAATATATCCCACGCTGGTCATCGTCCTCGTCGCATTTGACCGTTCGCATTTTGAGCTCGGGATCGCGAGCGGCGAGAAGAGGCTCGTAGGAAGACGACCCACTATAGACGGGGAAGACGAGGACCTTTCGGACCGCGGGCCAGAATCCGTTGCTAGCAAGGCCTCTGGCAGCGATGTTGACTCAACGGAGTCGAAGAGCGTTTGGATCGCATGAAGCATCGACTCTGCAGTGGACTTTCAGGCTCAATCGCCTGGAGCGAGTAGCGTCGCTATAGCTATATAATATGATAATATGGTTTACTCGAATCAAATGATTGACCATCACACCGGGCTTGCAGTCGCACTACAGCGACGACACCGGAGGTTTCGAGCTCACCAGAGCCTGCGGCGCGTAGCCTTCTATGATAGACACGATAGGCCCTCCCCGCACGGTGTAGAGATGCGAGACCAACTACACAGATACCCACAGAACCCGTCTGAGACCGGTCGATGTAGTTGGGATCATAGTGGGGCTATGCAGATTCCGAAACATGAGTAGGACTCGGCATTCACCAGGATGATGCCGTTACTACGAACAGACCAGTGCATCATTCATTTGAGAATTGACTCCGCTGAGCACGATCCCCCTGAGCTATAAGGTTGATCAGAAGCTGCCTAGACCAGTTCGGGAAGCGAACGATGAAGTATTTTCGTGACCTCTCACTACCATTCCGGCAGACATACGCGGCGTCAGAGACAAAAGATGTTCTGCATAAGCACAGAGGGGGGAAGCTAGATGACAAACTAGTCAATGTCGCGCGCCGGTAGAAGAGCTCTCTATACCAGACTTACATGATTATCCTGTGGTCGAAAGCCGGGCACCGCTGCCATGTGTCTGTCCGTGGTGTAAAGTTACGCATTGCTGTGGTCATTGCGGAGTCTTCGTGTCCTCTGGAACGACTTCGGAATCATATACAGTTTCACATAGTAGGACATAGTATATGGTGAATGGGGAGACTAGAGCACATCTCAATTCAAGAACGGTCACGGTGTACATGCGCAACGAACTTAGACATACGTCCGAGTCCTGTCGTTCAACTTTTCCCTTCATCAGATCCACATAGTATGAGTAGAAGGCGAACGTTGACCCGCACCATATCTTGCATCAAACGATCCTACTAGTCGATCTGACTATAGGGCGGTGGCGCCGTGAATCCCCCCTCAGTCCGATTGTCAAAGAGACTATCTGTATAACTACTCGAAAACCGCCTCTCCCTGGAAAGGACGCTTGCAGACTCCGTATTAGGTACAAGACCCAGCACAGGAACGCTTGCATGGCGGGGTGCGCGCGAGCGGCCCTCGGCCAATTTGAGCCTAGTAGGGTATGCGCTCTGCGGTCTCGCGCGCAGCGCTAAAGGCGACGCAGAGGGTGGCCCTTCTTGGGTAGGCGTCCTTGTGTTTCCGAGGACACTATCTTCCTGGGGGCGACTTCCGTTGGAGTCAGGACGACTGATGAACAGTACTGTGCGGGGGCCCGACCCCACTTCCGAGATCTCTGCATAGCAAACCATGGGTTAGCCGTGGTCGACAAGAAGAGGATTACGGGGTCCAGGATAGCACGCTCGGACGGTGTGAGTTAGTAGAGCTCACCTTCATAGCTCCTCGCCTGCAGAGGCCTCAGGGATGGCAATCCGAGACGTCGTCTCACGAGAAGCCTTGCTAAGACGAGACAGATGATGGCGGCGACGACAAGAATCCCGGTCGCGATCCCTGCGATGGCTCCTGCGGTGAGAGATCTGGCGGTACCTTGGTTTTCTAGGCCGGTGGACGGTGCGCTGGGAGAGACAGTCGCTGAGCTCGCGCGGCTTGTGCTGGGCTGGCTGGCATTGGACTGAACTGAGCTGATGGCGCTGGACATAAAAGAGCCGGAGGGACCCGTGAGGGTTGAGCTGATGGAGCTCGGGTCTAACGACTCCGTCGGGTTCTCGCTGGATGAGTGTGGACTCAAAGTTGGACTAGAGAGCAGTGTCGAAACCGTTACCGTCGGCTGTGACGTGCCTTTGGAATTCCGGTTTTCAGAATGTATAGATCATATCCGAATCTTCCAATTTGCCGTGAACTTACCAGAGATCTTGACACGAGTAGTAATGTCGATGGTCTTGGAGGGCTCGGCAGGACTCATTTGAGTGGGAGTGGGGGTTGCGGTCTCTGTTCTGACCGTCACGACAAAATGTGCGAGGACTTGAGGAAGGCTAGCTCACCTGCATGAGATGACGATAAGGACGTATTCTCAATGCACGATTCATCTCCAGGGAGCACCGTGAATATCGCTGAAAAGGCTGTACGGGTAACGTGTTCTTCATTGGTAAATTCCACTTCGAAGACTAGCTTTGACCCGGCGGATACGTTCGCCACCCAAGTGGCGGAAGTGCCGGTAAAGTCGCTGCCTAATCGCTGAAGCGGAGTATTGTCTTGATGCAGTATCTAGAGACTGTATGGGGCCTGACCGTCCTCCCAGGTAAGCTTCGTGGATTGACAGACGGTTGCGTCTGGGGTATTCACTTGGACGGGAGGAGGATCGGAAGAGACCCCTGAGGAGTCCACCTGTGTACGAGAGCTGAGAGATGTCAATGGCATGAACGATAGATGTGTGGTGACGGATGGAAGTTGATGCCGTGCTGTTCGATTTCAGTTTAGCCAATCGTAGCCAGCTGCACCATCAGAAATGAACCACGATCGCACATATTCAGGAAGACGTACATGATAATCTCCTAGGACTCTAACACACCCTCACTAAAACACCCTCACTTGTGAGACGAGTCGCTTGTGTGATGTAGGTAAGACAAGGAAACCTGTGGATCTCTGTATATACGTCCACAAGAGAACGTACGAACATCATCATCACACTTCGCCGGGTTCGACTTCCTGGGTCGCTTGGTTACTTGACTACACATTGAACTCCGTGACCCACAGCCTCGCCGTCTACAGCCCACTGTAGGCGTTTCTGGGGAAAGGCAATCCTGTGGAGCGTTGCTGCAAGATGAGTAAGGAACCGAAAGACGTTCGCGACCGCCAGTGCGCTTGAGACCACCAGGGACGTTTCACATGGTTTCAAGGCCATTTGAGCGTTCATCTACGTGAATTCGAAATTGTAACGGGACGCGATAGTATCAGTGATAGCAATCCAGTTGGTCATGCTTGTCGATGGGCGAGTTGAAGACAGTACAAAGTCGACCTGCATATGCAAGCGCTGGAGAAACGTGTTTGGCCGTGGGAGGTACTGTATAGCACGTTCCCACGATGATGATCGCTGTAGCGTCGTCCCGGGCCATGCAACTTCAGCTTATGTATATCCCAGAGACGTTTGTTCGGGCGACGCATAGCCCGTCATCCTAGCCCACGTCTCATTGAGTGTGTCTTGCTGGTAGGACAAGGTTCAATCACATCTCAGGTGGACAGGTGGACAGTTACTGGTAAATTGCGAACGATACGCACCATACAACATGGATAGTATTCGTCAGGAACACGAGATCACAACCGCCCCGGTGAAAGGTGATCCCATGAGTTATGTCCAGTCGAGTTTCTGACTCCCCTGCACCTGCACTTCCGTGATCATCGAGACAGCCGCACGATCTCCAGTGAGCTCACAGACCGCAACAGCCTGACACCGCCGTCGGCCATCTATGTGGGAGGATCACCATCGAGTCAGTCAGAGCGATTTCTACGTCAAGCTGGGAAAGATCCGCCGCATTATGCCAGCATAGCCATGATTCGATCTTGCTATGAAGACGCATGGAGGCTGTGGATTGCTTACGCTTCGGTTCTCTACAGTATGTACCTATAAGACATAGTCAGGAGGCCGGTAGGTTCAATCGAGCGCGATGCCATCTCCATCAGAGACAGCTCAGCGCCCACTACTCCCGCTGTTCGCGACCAATACCTTCTTTCAACTGTCGTTGCATTGCCTTCCCATCTGGAACTGTACATCGCTATGATACAGCTTCAGTAGCTGTCCGATTCTTTCCCCTGCGTCTCATGTAGATATTGTGTCTAGACGGCTTCCTGGTATCCAGGCCATCCCATGGTGATCGTCGCCCACTCTCTATCCACGATATATCCTTGCTTCAAGAAGCGTGAATTCATCGTGAGACATTTCTCTCAGTCTGGGGACAAAACGATAAGAGCAGATTGGTGTGCACAGCGAATTTGCCCTCCAGCCTAGGGACTTTCCTTGCACCGGTGTGAGGCGTTATATATAAACGCAGGCTACCTGCACTCGTGCCACGTATTTCGTCTCAATTTCTATACCTCCATAGTCTATCACATGGAAGGTGGAGGTTTGGCGGAGTGCAGATGCAAATCATGAGTGAGGCTGGAAATGGTGGACGTAGCTCGAGAGCACTCTGAGAGCAAGGCGCTGATAGTCAGGTGACCTGATTCCCACACTTGTCTAGCTGGCGCGCAGCTCTTGCTGCTACCAAACTCTGCTCTTCTCCTCGTTCTCACCAGCGGATTTGGCACGTTTCCTCGCTGCCAGAGACGTGCCATAATGTTATACTCTCCCCTATGCTTTTTATTTACTCAGATTAATTTGGCCTCGTGCGCTCTCTGCCCCTCTACTTCTGCACGCATCTAAGCTGATTCTCTGTTTCCTGCAATCTTGTGCTACCAGTGCTCTTGGATCTCTGGCTCGTCTTTGTTCATTCCCAGTTTCTTCCTTTCTTCGTCTTTGTTGCGACATGAGTTGTAGCACCCTGCGACTGCTCCTTGGCGTGGAGACTTGTGTCGCAGGCTCCCTCCCTGTTCCTCTGTTTGCTCTCTGCCGCCTATCTCCGCAGCGTGCGTCACCCTGAAAGCCATTCTTGCGCCATTCTTGATGCAAGGTAAGTCCGCTTGTATCTCCGTCCTGTTTGTAGAGTCGCTAGAGAGTGGACGCCATGACTAGCCATGCTGGGCATAGGGTGCGTGTTCATGTTCATCGCGTTGCCCTGCACCTAGCACGCATAGTCAGGTGTGAAGGCCAGTATATCTCCCGCAGCGCTGGTTCTACCATCTGTACCATGGCAGGACCGCGCTGCGGCAGATTCTGGTGTTCTCCCGACTCTCAGGAGTGTTGACGTCTCGTACATCTGCTGCGTGGCTGCGTCCTTTCACATCCAAGACATCCAACGAAACTGCTAGGTCCTTTTCCTCAATATCTGAACGTATATCTGAAGACCTCGCATTGTTGGTGATCCAGGTTGGAGTGGCACAAAGCAACATGGTCGTTATCATCGACTTCGTGAGTATCTTGCATATTAGCCCGCACTCTTCTGACAGATCTCCCAAGGGAACTGACGTGGATAACGTATGTCGTGATTTATGAGTAAGGCCTCCTCGCACACGACGTCGCCATCGCTGGCCTCCCGCAGCATACACCCGCCGTCCTCTGGCGTCTCCTGGTGGGCGGCTATCTGTGGACGGGCGACAAGGTGTCTGCGATCCCCTCATGCTATAAAACGCCTATGTTGCATGTATGTCTTGTGTCGTTATTTTCCGCGCCCACAATTATTTCTATCCATACTGTGTGGGTCGTGACGATGGACCATACAATCTAGTCCGGCTTTTCGTCAGCACCATCCATACCGTGATCATCCTTCAACCACGCAGAATGATTTCCCGTGCCCAAGATGACGCGGGGGCTTGGAAGGGGACAAAAAAGCCCTCCTAGACAGGTAAGCACAACAGTATTCATGATAGGACGGTGAAGAAGCAGGTGGAAAGAAGGGATCGTCCCTCGTTTGATGTGTGAAAGCGTCGCTCGTGTAGGTCGCTTGCATCCGGATGATAACCCTGGTCTGTGTATTCTCAGGTCTGTCCTCGCGTTGAAGCGGTGCATGGTCTCTTGTTCTACGTTTATCCACCGAATTTCAAAGGTATTGCGACTAACAGAAATGCCTCGGTCTGGAAACCTTATGACCCAACTGCCCCAGCGACAGAACAGCCGACCTGCATTCCATTGGTGCCACCTACTTACCCATATCATGATCTCGACGGTTGCGGGCTCATCAGGCCACCACAGGTCCTTGTGCTAAGGACCCGGGTTCCCGCCGCCGCCACAAGTTCGACCGTGTTTAACGGTGCTGGGCGTGGATCGCCATACGTATGAGGCGCGATATGGTCCCATCTCTGGCGCTGTGCTCAAGATCCTCATGTAAGCCACATTGCTTTTGATAATCGCATCACACGTGCCCGTAATGATCAATGAGCCACCTAGGGGGCCATAACGTTCCTCGTTGTTTCATGTCTCACAAGGATGAAGCCCTCGAACACAACTTCAGTCCTGAGATGGACTCGCTGGCACGCCTGGGAACCGCGCTCTGCTCATCACGAAGAGACGGATCGTGAGTTCTCTGTCGAAGCACCCTGCCCGCCGTATCGCCGCCGACTGACTTGACAGCTGTGCTAGCACCCTCGAATATCGGATCGTAGAACCCTATCATCTTCTGTCAGCCACACGCGTGGTGAGTCATTACGTTTGTGCGCCGCTAGACGCTCCTACCCTCCGTCATCTGGAGGCTCTATCAATGGCGATTAGGGGCATCTCACCTCCTGTTTGTTCGTGACTGACATCTGTCTCGCCCGCATATGAGGTAGAACGGCAGCACTTCGTGCGAGGTCGTGCTCTCTGATAGCCGCACACACACACTGGATGCAATCAGGGACAGTCGCATACTGTATGTTGCTCGTCAGAGCCTGAGCAGAGGTGAGTTTTATTCGCTCCCGTAATATCGAGAGGTGAATTTGAGGTCTGTCATCAGGGAGTTGCTATCGTGTACAGCAACAGTGTTTACCCTTGTATTACTCTCAGCAACAGGCGATAGTAAAGTAAAGCCGGTTGACACTATGTTACGACTCCTCACGGTAACTGTTCTGACTGTTGAGCGGCGGTGGCGTGGCTCTTCTGAAGATAGAATTCTTCACGCATCTCTGCGTGCTCTTAGTCCAAAATACCCTCCCTGCCCTCCCCTTACGGCTTTGAAAGCTCTGCGTACCAGACAGGCTGTGTTTCCCATTGCCGCAAGGATTTAGACCAATGGTGCTCCGGCGTAATCTCTCCCTCTGTCCCGAAATCATCATCTGCCCGTAGTATAGTCTCTTCCGGATTGCTCCTGCTGTCGCACTGTTGGGTGGAAAATAGCACAGGGTCGACGAAGCAGGCGGAAAGCACCTCTCCCTCCGACGATTGAGTCTCGTCTGTCTGCAGCAGGCCGTTCTCTACGTGTGACCTGTTCAGGGCAACGAGGACGATAATGATGGTTGGATAGATAGCCTAGAGGCGCCAAGAGAAGGTCGCAGTCAGAGTTGCCGAAGACGAAGGTTATCGGAGAGCATGGGGACGTACTATTAGGGGAACAAGGGCGCCCTTGACGAGGATTCCAAATATGTCCCAGAACGTGTTGGACCCGGTGTGCAGTGCGATTGAGGGTTGATACAAGCCCACCTGCAAAATCACAACAACTGCCTGCGGTCGCCCGTTGATTCGTGTTCCCGTACATTTCAGTGTCAGGAAGAGAATTGACTCACCCACAGGGTGCAGTACGCAGCTCCAGATTCTAGAAGGAGGGCGAAGATCTTCTCTATTTGCGATGCGATGGGCCCGACAACGATATATTTCCGAAGATCGCTTTTGGCTTTCCTGAGTGCCAGCCTATCAGAGGAGAGGAGATATTCAAGCCTAGAGTAGCCTACCATGCCTTATACCCCACAAGTACAGTTGCGAGTAGGTTCGTAGCGAAGGTTAGCACGGTGGCCGCCACACCGTATGAAAACCCTTCGTACATGACGCCGGTGCCCACGTTGTGACGGTCGGGTTTCCAGTCAAGGCTCGGCGCGCAGGTGAACACGGTGTCCACCATACCCAGCCCTAATATTACAGCTCAGAATAAGCGGAATCTCCTGAAATGAGCGGTAGATGTACTTGCCAAAAGTTGTCATTAGAAAGGTGACGCACAGGGTCTTAATAGCACGGTTACCTCGCCATAGGACACATGCTCTCCAGCATACAATAGCATCGCCTAGAAGTATCTGGATACGGGATAGACCCTGTCAACATCGTACACCTTTGCTCAATATAACAAAGGCCGAACATTGATTGTGAGGGCAGCGGTACCTGTGCAGTTCTGGATTTGGTCGTAGTCCCGAGGATTTGCCGAGTTGAGCAGTCCAAAAACTACGTCCGAAGGCAGTCCCCAGATGACCGACGGTGAATCCAGAATTGCATTGAGGATGATACTTTGAGTGGCAAGGAGCATTGTAACCAAGTACGCTGTTGTAGTCGCGAAGAGTGCAAAGAGCGTTAGACCGAGGGCCATCATGGGAGGCTGTAATTTTCCATATTGTCTTAGGTGGGTATCATGTACGGTATCAAGACATGGACTGGAAGGAGTCTTGAGTCGGACTCACTGTGTGAGTGCATGGATAGATGCTATAATCAGGATTACGAAAATCCCTGCTGATTATCGTTTGGTTCGTAAGGTCGGATGTGATCACTATTTGTCTCGTACCGTACAATCCCGACGGTAGCGAAGCAAGGACGATTTGCTCCTGAATGGCATGTACTTGAAAGTCCCATGAGTCTTGATTGAAGGCCCCGTGTATTGGTGATGGACACAGACTATTGTTGGTTTGCGTCATTCAGCGAATGTATCTGGGACAGATACTAGATCAGCTTCGAGCAGTAATAAATGACAGGTTTGGCGAAATTGGCCTCTATGACCTACCCTAGCTTGGGCCCTTTGACTCGAGCGGAATACTTGGGTGTCGTCCAAGGGGGATAGGTCAGCGAAGTCGTAGCTTCTCGTCGTGGAAAAAATACTGACAACCATGGGAGGTCCTATCTAGTACACTGTATCTCATATATCACTATTGCACAGGAGATTTCCCTCGTGATAGTGTTTCGTAGTCCTCGTCGCGGGCGCATCTGTCACATCGGCATAAGACGCCCACGGAGCTGACAGATAGGAACCGTAAGCTCCAGAAGCGGTATCATCGGCGTTGGCGGGATAGAGCATCCGAGTTGGTGACAGCGTATGAGGCGGCCTGAATGGGTCTCGCAGAGCACTCCCACGAAGAGAGTCGATTCAAACGACAGCCAGACTTTTCAGACCGCCGGCGTTTGTCAGAAATAGTCAAGAATCATCCTTTGACACGACAAAGAGAGCGACGGTGACTAGAAACGCGGCCGTTTCACAAGAAGTGTGACGCCGCGTGAGACTCCGAAGAGTTCGGAGAAACTGACCATGTCAGACATACTCGGAGCAGATTGATGGGACGATCTGTAAGCCGTCACTGCGCCCGGTTGATTTCTATCATCGCCGCTCTATTCGACAAGAAGGTTCAAGACTCTGAATGACCCGATCATGCAAAAACCCAGGTCTCGCGCACAATGCGTTATATAGACGTCATGTACATAAAGGAAGTCCAAATGTTCTGGTTAATTCGCTCATACTCGTACATCGAAGGATATCAGCTGACACGGAGATCGTATCATGGCACAGGTCATGGTGAGACTCTGGCAGGCGCTGCCAACGGGAAGCCATCTTGACATAGCTATCGGACTCCACCTTCCACTCACGTTTTGGCGGGCAATGACATCTCTCATCGACAGCGCGATAGTGTATATCAGAATCGTGCGTCTCTCGCTTTCCCTAACCCATTGTTCATGTGAAGACCGTTACACGAATTATGGCTGCAAGCAATGTTGGACTTCGCACTGTAAACGTGCCACGGACGCACCTAGCCAGTCAATTGGGTCAGCTCCTATGAGAGGACGAGTCTACCCAAATCCTCCTGCCCGTATCATCTGCTTAATTCTCTGGCTTGAGATTTCATGGTAAGACGAACATGCCCTCTTTTAACGCTAGGATGCATCATAATTTGATTTGCTAGAGAAATTTGCCCTAATGCCTCCACTTTGTCACACGCTATGGATGCAGTACCTTTTCTCTGGTTTGGTGAGTAAGATTGCTCCTCCATCCAGCTCTATCACCGCACAGTGCGATCTTCCTTGTCACACTCGGTCTTTCCCGAGCCCCAGGCTGTGCCTTCTCGGCCGCATTTTTGCTAGGCGCAGGCCAAGGCAGTCCAGCGAGTCGCCGGTATCCGATTGCTCACAGTGGATTAAGTTCTAATCCCCTCTCTTCTTGGTTTTTAGAGGACTGCTCATGAAGGGAAGCAATTGGCAGCCCTCGTGTCGCGCCCTTTCCCCTATACAACCGAATCGACTTACCTTTGACCCCTGGGTATCTGGAACACTGCTCTTCCCGCTCATACGCATGAAACCATCTCTTCTTGTCCTTAAATCTGTGATTGAATGGCCTCCCTTAACCTTTCGCGTACGCTCGCCAGTACTCTGGCAGACGACCAGATTCTGGTCATTCTATCTTCTGTACTCTTCGGTAAGTCGTCTTTCGCAACTAAAGACTCGTTGATTACTGAGATCGTATACAGGAGTCCTGAAAATGCTGGTCTTGGCCTCGATTTACGCCCTGATGTAAGTGAGACTCTCCTTGGCATAATCTGTAGCTCAACATTTCTTCGGCTGGTCAGTTGCCTTGGCTTAAGACGGGTGTCAGTTCGACTACTGCTTGCATCTACCATATTTTTGTATCTTTCTTCAGCCATATACTGGGGAACTATCCTTGAGTTCGCTATCAGTACCAGCAAGCTTCTCGCCCACGCAGTCAACAACATTGACGACGCTTCCTCTTCTGTCCCTCTAATCGGCTTAACGGAAGCTGCTCGGGCCTGTATCTTGACTGCGACATTCACTGTCAACGTGAGTGGTTTTCAATGCTCTCGTCATCGCAGAAACATGTCTCATTCGATCTGAATGCTATTCTTATCAGGTATGCATCGGAGATGCAATAGTATGGTGGCGTGCACGCGTGCTATACCCCGGGAACAGGAAGGTCCGGCACGTCTGCTGCGCTCTCCTTTCGAGCACATTTGGTACGTCCTTACCTTCATGATTTGGCGCTTGGTCCTTCTTGCATCCGAATGACAATGGCAGAAGCTCATATGTTCTTGTTCAGTATTGGGAATAGTGTCAACACGACGGTCTGTTCTCGTGCAGAATCCGCAGCCAGGAAGGATTCCCATCGTGTACAACGGAGATGTCTTTGGGACCGCAGCTATAGCGTTGTCTCTGGCGACCAACGTCTTCTCTACTACACTCATTGGATACAAGGCATGGTGAGCTCCTTGTGAAGCCAGGTGCTTTGTATAATACCGTCGAACGTGAGGTTAAGTACAAGCTACTCGCAGGAAACACAGACAGTTCATGCGCGAACACTTGGGTGCACCTGGTAGCAGCACCCTAGTCACCCTCAAAATCACTGCGCTGTTGGTTGAATCAGGGATGATATACTGTCTTGTATGGGTGAGTTCTCAGATTGGACACTAGGTTCAAGAGGAATATTGCTGCTGACTGCTTCGATGCAGGTTGAATTCCTCGTGTACCATGTTGTGGGTGATATGGTCCCCGGCATTCACGGAGGGCCATGGAACGCCGCCACATTCTATCATGAAGCCTGTATTGCCCCGATCGTTGTAAGCTTTCACATTCTGCGTACTGATTATCCCTCAATTTGACTCCATCTTCCCCGTAGGCAATATATCCTATGGTCATCGTGGTACTTGTTGCTGTCAATAAATCCCAGCTCGAGCACGGCATCACACGCGGCCAAATGTCGATCTCAACATGGGGCGTGGCTTCTGGGCCTCACGCGCACGACATCTCGAGTCATCGTATGACGCAACTCAGCGAGGGCGGCTGTCCCTTCGCTTCCCGTATTACGCGTACGGGAGAAGAGGAAGCCCAAGCTGAGAGCAGTTTGGATACACGCGTCCCTGGACGGTCAAGTGTAGACTCGGATCGAATCTCATCACTGAAGGACCACGAGAAGCCTGGAGCAGTTGAGATGGTCATCCTTCCTACTGATTTGGGACGGTTTATGTCGTAGGTTCGTATGGGGCAACGTATTGTAATGTGGTTTCCTGAAAGCAGAGCTATATCGTACCTTAGGCCTCGCGTCCTGAAAATGGGGGCTGTCAACTCGTGTGGGCTGCCTTTGAGCGTCCTTGATGGTACAGTGAGGAAAGAGCAGGATGTCGGGTTCCACTCCTTGCGTACACATTGCAGATGCGGGAGCAACCCTAACACCGAAACTGGGGCAAAAGCTAGGCGTTCTCGAATCCTTCCGCTTCTGACCCAAAGGCTCCATTTGCTTGCTGAGCCTTCTATAAATGTTACCGGACATGAAGAGTACTTCCCATCGCTCCAGTATAATGCGCGCAGAATGGGACTTGGAATGACGTGGATGCATTATGGCGTATGAGCCTCTAGACTTCGCATGTTTTCGCAGTCCCCTGTCCTGACTGCGATCCACACAAAGAATACCACTCACACTCATATTGTCCCGAGACAACGCTACAAAGCCATCGGCAATATGACTCGACCGCATCACGAAGTAAGCAGCGTCCCAGTGTCAGCGACTCTTGGCAGTGCGGGTATATTAAACCCAAAATGACATGACATCCTATCCAACAAACCTTGATCAATTACCCCTCCTACAGGAACCGAAGATTCGAAGCTTGGCGGTGCTAGACAATCCTTGCTCTGTACTTTCCCCGATCACCTTCTAAAGCAGTCGAAGTCGCGTTACCTACTTGTACGGACCCCAGTGACAAAGCAATGGGTCATGTGCTTACAGCGATGCTACGAACGCTGCCTCTGTATTGAGGGTGCGAGCCAACTCAGCACCATGACCGTTCAAGGCCTTGCACGGCAGACGAACCATGATGATCTAGCAGAGCCTCATACGATAGTGAGCGCATAAGGCGACTTCATAAGTATGCGAGCGCCAATTGTCTGATGATATACACTGACATAAGCCTACAACTGGCTCTGAGCCTCCTCCGCTTTCGCCTGCTTGACAGCGGCGATAACCTTTGGGTGCACGTCCTTACCGCACGCGACGATACCGTAGTTCTCGCCCAGCGTCCGCCCAAGACTAAAGTCGAGGGGCTCTCCTCGTCCATCCGAGATGATGCCACCTGCTTCCTCGACGAGGATCGAGCCCGCTGCGTGATCCTGTATGGAGCAATAAGCACAGGGAGGATCCACACGTGGGATGCAAAGACGTACCCAAATCTTCTCCTTGTATCCCGATCCGACCGGCATGCGGAGGTACACGCCTCCGTCGCCCCTTGCAAGCGCACAGTACTTCGCCTGGCTGTCCATCCTCGTTGGTGCCCGCGTCACGCCCAGGATCTGGCCAACGCGCTCATTGAAGCTCAGCTTCGCGTGCGCCTTCTCCACGCTCTCCAGGAAGTTGAGGTTCTCCGCCGTGAACGTCGGGATCGTCAGCTTCGTCCGCTCCCCACTGAGAGGGTTGTCAAGCGGGAGCTGGTACGCGCCTTGTCCGCGCACGGCGACGAAGATGCAACCACGCGGACCGGAGGGGTTCGAGGCGGTGACAGGGAGATTCGGGCAGCCTATGACGCCGAGCTCCACGCGAGCGTCGACGAGGAGCGCGAGGCAGACGGCATATTGCTCACCGCGGAGGAAGCCCTTCGTGCCGTCGATAGGATCGAGGGTCCACATTCCTGTAGAATAGCCTTGTGAGCGATGTCGGGAAGGCGAAAGGTATCCCGAGAATTGACTACTATCGACAACGCGCTGTTGTCTGCACAGTCGTACGTGTGCATAGATGTCGCTGAGCACACCTCGATTTTGTTGTGCAAGCGAGAGAAAACAGTGAATGTGCATCACTCACGTCCGGTTCGACCACCGTCGTAGTTCCCGCGATCAATCGCATCCAGCAACTGGTCCACGGTTCTCCCATGATTGGGTCCCAGTCTCCATTCCTCCTTCTCTCCAGGCTGAAGGTCGGCGCTCAAGGTCGCGTTCGCGAGTTCCACGATCCGATCTCGCAGAGCCCTCCCGGACTCAACACGTAGATCGGCAGCATCCTCCTCTCCAACGATAGGGTCGTCCGGGAAGGTGCGATCGAGGATCGTGTTGATGACCGCCTGCGCGGAAAAATCGCCAACTACGAGGGAGGTCTGTCTTCATCGCGCAGCGTCTGAGACGATAGCACGTACCTGTGACTGGACTCTTATCATCCTTCGTCAACGTCTCCTGCTTCACGAGCTTGTTGAACACTGATGCTGTGAGGACGCACGCCCGCCGGACGGCGGCGACGGCGATCTGCGTTTCGGCAGCGTAGGCGTGTGCGGTGTCGTGAGCGGCCATGGCTAGGAGAAAGCTCCAAGTTTACCGGAGCAGCGATAGCAGGAGAGATGGCGGGCTTAAAGGCGTTGAGCAACATCTTGAGCGAGCGAGTCAGGGCAAAGGTGTTTGGTCGACGTGCGAGGCGATGAGCTCAGCTGCACCGAACAGGCGCGCGCTGCCACCAACCGCGACGGGGTTGTTTCGAATGACACTCAAGCAACACTGCTCCTGTCGCCTAGACTTGCGAGTCTCGAGCCACTCACCTGCCTTATATTTCCGCCCTACTCTGCGTGTTCTGTCGAGAGGCTCTGTAACGCTAAGCGAGCGTGTGCGGAGACGGTGCCCAGCTCGAGTGCCCACCCGACGTCCGACGAGATGAGAGCTGCAGTTGGAGAGCATGGCTTGCAGGTGATGGCTCTGTCGAGAATCTGATATCAAGGCATCTCCTCTTACGAGGACGGAGGTGCGTCTGTCCCCGCCATCTGCCATCTGGTATGCTTCATGATACCTCGGGCCGACTCTGAGCGATTCGCACAGCACCAGGTTCAACATCAATACCTGGTTTGACGGCGTAAAGCACGGCAGCTCGAGCTCTCGAAGAGGTACGTGAGAAGGGCCCCATTAATCCACTGCTGCGTGCGCCATCCCCTCTACGCCTGTATCTGTGCCATGAGCAGTCGTCTCTTTCACCGCCGCCGCCCGCCCGCACTTTACCTCTTATCGGCCCTCAGGAAGCAGGTGTCACAGCCTACTGTATTCTTCGCACCACCAAGCATATGCACATGATCACCATTGATCACGACCGGATACTCCCTCGTAGCTGTGACCGGGACAAAGCCACGGCCCAAGCGGCGTTCTCCTCTCGAAGCTCTCCGTTTTCCAGTTGTCTTCCGTCCTAGGTCCTTTCTACTCGAGCTCGACACCCTTCGTTGGAGCTGGTGGCGCAACGTACGTGACCTCGCTGCCGGCAACGCTTAGACGCTTACGGTTCATTGCTAGGACAGGCGCGATGTGGCAACAGCTTCATACACCCAGGCACAATATACTGCATTCCGACTGGTGCTACACTCCGCCTTGTCCAGCTGCGTCATAGCCTGAACGTACCCACCACTTGAACCATTTGGCCGAAGCACCGCTGAGCTCGGAGGGTGGTGTGCAGGCAGTCAACTCTTAACCGTTGATGTTGGTCATCGGGTTGTCTGCATATCGACGACAAGCGGATTGTTGTACACTACTACACTCTTCAGAAAAGTTATGCGAAATCAAGAGAGGACTCTCCCCCTGCGACAGAAGTCTCGCCTATACTCATTGATCAGTGCCAAAGCTCCGTAAATTCCTTGTATCAGGCTGTTCACCAGTCACGATCATAGTACCACAGCTCTCTTTACAGCATGCAGGAATCGACAAGACTCCATGAGAGCCAATAGCTTTAGCGCAATCAGAGGCTATGCCTATTTCTCATAGAATCGTCTGCAACAGGTCGCCGGCCTCGATTATTGGCATCGATAACAGCCACCAGCACTACAGTGGCAGCAATAGACCTAGGCCGAGAGCACTAGGCGTTTCCATCTATCGGTGTACGTGTCTCGTCAGTAACCAAGCTCTTTAGACGAACAAACTGTACCCACCTTCACGAGATACCCCCATCTCCGCGAGCTCCACAGTTACTGCGTTGGCCCCTCCTGGGGCAAGCCCCGGTAGACTACGAGCTTCCTCTGCGCATGCGCCAAAACCGCTGCCGAAGACCTTGATCCCAGACGGATGGAAGGCGGCGTCTCTTAACGATTGTCGAGTGTTCAACCTAACCCACGCGTCGTCTCGTGCATTCAGCGAGGGATTTTCCACTTTGGAAAGAGGTTCTTACGCTGCGAGAAGACTGTTCGTATACACTAATTCACGATGACCTGTCAGCGCATGAAATGTACAGCATCAGACGCCCCGGCGGGGGACGAGGGCCCCACACTCACACTTGATGGACACGAACGAGACGCCGGCGTATAGCAAGCCACCTGGAAAGACGAGCTCCTGAATTGTTTGTGTTCGCCGTTCAATCATCCTCGTCCAACTCTGGAGAGTCGCCGCCACAACGTGCACATACGTACCGTCACGAATAACAGGATCATGCACCCGCTGGCATGAGTTTCTTCAGACAATCTACCGCGTACAACGTCTCTAATTCCCTACCTCGTGAGCAAACCTGACGGTTGGCGGCGAAGTAAGACATGCATCAGGATCAGAGGGTGCTACGCTCTGAGAGGTAGAGCATCCGCACTGACCTGTGGTGACGGTGTAGAGTATCACCCTGTCGAGCAGTGAATCGGTGCTAGGTAATGCGATAAAGGAGTGTTTAGGCGATATGAACATGAGCTATGGACTTTGATGGAGTGCACGCAGTACCTCTTGATGCCGCTTCGGCTGAGATGCAGCGCACGGATGAGCACAGTTGTCATGATAATGTCCGCGAAGACAGGCAGCGCCGTAGCGCATGGATCGAGCCACTGCATACGCGTTCAGCAAGGATTCTTGAGAGATGTTCCGAGACAGGGGAGACGCACGGGCGCGCGTATTCCGGATATTCCGATGTAGTGCGAGGGTCTCAAATAGCTGTGAGCGCGAGCTTCAGTATTTGACATGTTCCATCACGGTGAGAAGCGGGGACGGACACACCCGACAAATGTAGAACCTGGGGAAGAGTGAGTAAGTAAAGAGACAAAGAGACAAGGTGTTCAGCATGATTTTACCTAACGAGAACCCTGCCGTTTCATGGTGAGCGAGTCGTAGGAGGTGGAAGCGGTATTATTTAGTGACGGACCGAATGCAAGGAACAACAGCACGACCTTCAAACCATCGTGATATCACTGATGTCGACAAGGAACGTAAAATGACGCACCACCAGCCTCATCCATGGGCGATACTGGTTCCCGACTGCGACATGAGGGGTTCAGTGCTCGGCAGACATGTGTGCGTAGGAGAAAAATGAGGACCTACAGACGTATGCTCTGTGAGCGAAGAATCTGAGATTTAGTTCGCGCAGGTTAGAGATGTCGAGGCTGACAATCGCGAAAGGTGAGATCGGGCGCACCCCTGAGTGAGAGCGATGATGACGTTCTATGGATGCGGGGTAAGCGGAGGCTTGCTAACACGAGATACATCGGGTCACTGACCGTCAATAGCGGAAGAAACTGTGCCCATCGATGTCATTACAAGGACTCTGTGCTGCGGAACGAAAAATGAACAGCTCACATGTGTTTTCCTTATAAGTTTCACCCGAGGAATGGGTGTGAGCTGTGGCGGACATCGAAGGGGACGACCTAAACCCACTGATCAAGGTATCGAAGATGGGCGATATCGGAATGGTGTGTCACTAGAGCTTCATAGCTGTCCCAAATGCCCATATGTCGAGATACATGAATGTAGACCGACGATACTGACGCACCAGATGTATGTAGATACAGCTGTATGGACAGTCTCCAGCAGCCTATTTGGTCGACGTCAACCAGGTGGATGTTCATTTAATCAAAAGTGGACCTCATTTACACCGTAACTGAAACCTGCATAATGCTGATCAGAAATCATGTATTCCGGAGAGGAGCGCATCGCTCACAATGATTCTGATGCCTATCTTATCGTCAGGGTATGCGCCGAAGTAGCGATATGTCTGATGCAAGAGTCCGCCGTACAATCTAAGGGACGTGTATCAGTCGATTCTTCTTGATGTAGAAATTGTGTTGGAGAGGGGCTTACATGAGCGACAGATACGTTCCTAGAAGGACAGAACCATACGTTTTGCCAATGAAGTCTACTAGATGGCCAAGCGGAGCATTTGCAGAGCTAGTCGTTGAAGATACAGCATCCATGTTAGGGAGAAAACACAAGGGATATCTCTCGGAGTACAAGTATGCGGTGACCACCAGGGGTGCAAGGGCGGAAGACAGGCCTTATCAGTGGGTTGGGGAACTTGACGGGCCGGGTTGAGGCCTAGGATCGGAAGAGAAGACGGAGAAAATGCAAATTGAGCTGCGAGTAGCAGGCAGCTGTCTCCGAGAGAAGTCCAAGCGCATGCCACCTCGATAGATAGGCTTGAGCAATGCAGATCCATGAACGAAGTATATATCGAGTGGCATGGAGAGACTAAGAAGGTAGCACTGATATTGAGAAGCGACTCGGAGAAGTTTACCAGTGTCGGTTGAGCGACGGTGTTCCAAGCAGGCGCCCTGTCGCTATGGCAGGCCGTCGGCAATATCCGTCGTGTGGGCACAGTGATGTCCGTGACGGCCCGTTGGTGCCATCCCTCCTTCAGAGCTCCAGATCTCCCTCGCTAGCGCCATCATAATCCAGGGCGTGCTATGTATACTGGTTCCCACCTCACAACGTCGAGCAGAGGACGCAGGAATGGGATCGGGTATCTGCGGCGCGATACTCGGCCAAAATGCACCTCACGAGGCTCAGTCACGTAGTGCCGGAGGCCGTTCTTTGCTCGTGCATCATACTTCACTTTGGCGGTTTAAGACGACAGAGCTTCCCATCCTTGAGGGCAACCATGTTTGCTTAGGAAGGCGTTTGTGTTGCCTCACTTTTCACTGCCAGAGTTTATCAGGAATGAGCTCCGGAATGCACGCCCTCGTGAAACTGTAATCGATGATCTTGCATGATACCCGTCCTCAGACAAGGTATGCAATGTTCATGTACGAAAACCACCGCTTCATCCACAACCGTGCTATCAGCTGCATCAGCCTATGAAAATCTACAGGAGATTGCCTGTAATCGAAAGCAGACTGTCGACATTCGGCTGATTGCAAGAGCCGTCCGAAGCCTCGCGTATGTCTCACTTCAGCCATCAGGTAGACCAGAAGGTTTTGAGAGTGACACACATCCCACTACTTGTCTGTTGTCTACAAGGGGACTTCTGTGGTATCCATCATGGAGAGCGTACTGCTACTTGTACGAGAAGATGAAAGATCGGCCGCCGGCTCAGTGCTAGCGACAGCATCCATGGCTTCATCTGCCTGTTTCGAGATAGATTGTATTCCAAATATGACTCCATGGAGGCCCTTCTCAAGCGGATGTACATGCAGATCACTCAACAAACTTAGGCTACGGGGCGTTCGATGTGGAAGACGTCGCAGGTGCTGGTGAGCTGCAGTACCGAGTACACAGTCCGGCTCAGCTCCTAACCCCCCAAAAAAGTGGACCACTGCAACTGAGGCCTGAGGTGGCACCTTCCTGTCTCTCCCATATCCCAAGTACGATCGCACCACCACACTCACCTTTCTACGTCCCCCTTTTGCAGGTATTCGTGACTTTCGCGAGACCACACAAGTCATCCCAAATCGATGTGCATGGCTTCTCGAGATCTATCAGAGTAAGAACATCACTGTGACGACAGATGGTGATGTTGCAGCTCAAGGAAAGGTGTACATGGTGAGTGGTCGGGCGCGGTCAGGCCCACGAAGGTAGCTAGATGGCGATTCCTTATCCGCAATCATGAAACCCTTGCTACAGTCCTCGTCTGCACCAAGCTGTCCATTCCGGCCACCGCATGAGCTGACTTCCGCTGCTGTGTGTAGTGATGAGGCGGCTTCGTCGTTTGTGATGTCAGGTTGATGGCGAAACACGACGTGGGATACCAGCTTGTCTGTTGACACTGTCCCGTGGAAGTGGGACCTATTCAGTGCGACCAGAACGATAATGGTTGTCGGATAGATCCCCTGAAAAGACAGATGATGAAGTTCGAAGATACATGGAAAGATGTGGACACGCACAATCAGAGGAATTAGACAGCCTTTCATGAAATAGTCAAATCCCGTCAGTACTTGTTGCTCCAGTCGAGACTCCAGCGCTGGATCGGTGAACGAGCTGGTTTGATATGCCAGGATGAACCCCTTGAAGGACGTTTTACAAGGAGTCTTCTGGGGTCCAGTTTTTTTGGCTCACCCAAAGTAGGCAATACACCGTGCCTGACTCCACGAGCAGCACGAGGAGCCGCTCAATTCGGCTGCTTCGTTCAAGCGTCGTTGCCTCAAACATCTTCCTATGCTCCCTATAATATCTGTGAGTCTTAGTTCGTGACACATAGCGTGTGATCTCATGCTTACCATGCTTTGCATCCAATCATGACCGTGGCAACGAGATTGCTCGATAGGGATGAGACCGATGCAGCCACACCAAAGACGTCCAGCCTGTAGAAGGAACCAATCGGGATGTAGTCGAGATTCGCCAATGTGAGTTCTGAGAATGCTGTCGCCGGGCATGAATCCAATGTATCGATGAGTCCCGCAGCTGACGAAAAGACTCGCAAGGTAAGATGGACACCTCACCATTGTGTTGTGAGATCAATCGTATACGCACCCGTTGTTACTGCCAGGAGAACTACGCATGTCCCTCTGACGATTAGACTGCGGGGCCAGATAATCCATGCGCGCCACCAAACAATGGCATCCCCAAGGAGAACCTAGGCACCAAAGAGTCAGGTACAGTGCGAGGTTAAGAGCAATCGAGGGCAAATTCTGACATTGAGTGTGAGAATTCCAGTAGGTGCACAGAGAGTGAGACCGTGCACGACACCCGGCAGGCCGTATGTAAACCCTGGTTCAGATGGGTAGGACATGGGTGTAGTTGATAGAGCTGAGGCGCTCCCGCACACACTCAATGCCTCGCTTACATAGGCTTGAACAAGCTCATAATATCCGGTGGTGCTGAGTAGGAGGATGCCCCAGTGGAAGGCCGCGGACGCATACATAACTAACATGACAGCAAGCAACGCCATCACTTGAACATGAACTGAACCTCTTCGTCTAACGCTTTGGTTAAGTCGTAGGTCACAAGGTTGGGGAGATTGATACTCACATAAGAATAGTCAAAGCGAAGGACACCAAGGCCGTGTATAGACCTGTGCGCCAGGTTAACGTCACTTCGGGCAAATGAGCGCTAGAAGAAGGGGGGCTAACCCATAAGTGCCGTTGACAAGACGAGCAAGATAACACTTGGCCAAAATGCTGCGATGTAGGTTTGAGCACCATGCGACGCAGTACAGATTTCTGCAGTGGAGTTAGAAAAATGAGCAGGAGTCTGGGAGACTAGAGGAAACATCAGGGCTATGTAAAGGGACTGGTGCTGTGACGAGCACAGGTGCCATAGCGCAAGAAAACGAGCAACTTATAAGGCAAGGTTGCATGAACAATTGATACTGTATTCGAGCTGACAAAGAATCGGTCTTCTACTTTGGCCGCGATGTCATACAGGAGTTCCAGGATGCTCTACACGTGGAGCGGCATCTCAGACTTCCGAATGGTCTGATGAAATCAAAGAAGGTTGGTCGCACCGCCCTCACGGGCTCGCTGGCCGCCATGGTAGCTCTCCCTGCGGTCTTCGATAACACTTCCCTGTCCATTCAATTGTATAAATCAATGTACATCTGCAGGAATTTGCGGCGGCTTTCGCATGCTTCTGGTCTTCCCACCTCGGGAGGTGGCAACCTGTCTGGCAACTATCCCATGGTGTCTGAGATATGATCATGCAGGGTACACGCCGCCGAAAGAACCGTCTGTACTGTTTGCGCCGTGTGCATTCCGCTCGCAAGTAATTCGTCGGTCGAAGGGGTTGCGGCGGATGCTAGGTGTCGCTCGCGTACTGTGCAGCATTGACGACGACTATGGTTTGTGTAAAACTGTCTCACTACGGGACCAGCCACGAAGCTACTCGCAGCTTAGGATATATCAATATACTGATCATGATAGTGTCATGGTATATTGTACATCACGAACCGGGACTAAGTTTACATCTATGCGATCCTTGGGCGTACACTTCGACGAAGTATGTAGAAGACTTGACAGCAATCGTTGCCATGGCGCTAATCTGTAAACCGTGACTTCCAAGCACCATTTTGATTGTTTCCTAGTCAGCTGAGTGGTATCTGCCTAGGGTTGTCTTCTTTCTCTGGTCTGTAGATGTACGTTCTTACGAGACATCAATGATTGGCAAGCGTCGCCTACGAGACGTCCACCAAAGAACACGAGCGCTCGAGGCGCCAATACCGATGCGCGACGGTAGCTTTATCATCACCTCCACGCCACCATCCGTCCAAAGGCCCTACCTCGCATGGCCGCTGTGCACATCTGATACGATGACTGAAGCACAATGGCCATAAGCACTGCTGCTTAGCATCTATGGCGACTAGCAAGACATCGGGGAGGTTCAGGTCAGCTGATCACCCCTCTTCTACATTTGCCTGCTTTAGAGCAGCATTTCGGTGCCGGTCCTTCCCACACGCGACAGTGCCGTAGTTCTCGCCTAGCGTCCGCCCGATCCCGAAGTGGGGAGGCTCTTCTCGCTCGCACGGGATGGCGCCGTCCGTCTCCTTGAGAAGGATCGGACCCGTGGTGTGATTCTGTACGACGCTGAGAGCACTGGATGCATCTGCGCCCGAGAACAAGGAGAAGTGCCCGGATGTTCTCCTTGTATCCCGATACGACCGGCATCCGCAGATACACGCTGATGTTGCCTCCTCGCAAGCGTAAGAACTTCGCCTGGTCATCCATCCTCGTCGGCGCCCACATCAAGCCCAGGATCTGGCCGACCTGCTCATGGAAGCTCAGCTTCGCGTGCGCCTTCACCTGCGCTTTCTGAAAAGTTTAGCCTGTGGGCAATGATCGTAGGGATCTTCAAGCTCGAGAGTTGTCGAGTGGAGCTGGCGTGTACCTGGCTGCGGACGGCAAAGAGACAGATGGCCGGAGCGGTTCGAGGCGGAAACGAGAAGGTTTGGAGAATCTATAAGGCCAAGCTCAACGAGAGCGCTGATGAGGAGGCTGAGGCGGGCGGTGTATCGCTCACGACGGAGTAAGCCCCGAGCAGAGTTGATACGATAGGAGGTTCATCTTCCGGAGATCGGAGATGTAGAGAGCGTAAGACAGGAGAAAGGCATCAAGAACCTGATCGGGAGCCACTGCGCATATAGAAAGCGCAGAACACACCTCCCGAGAATCGTCGTGCAAGTGGGAAACCAGTAAATGTAGGTTACTCACGTAATGTTCTACTAACATCGTAGTTTCCGCGATCAAAGGTACCTAGTACCTGGTGGGTGATCCTCTCATGTTCGGTGCCACTTCCCGTGCCTCTTTCACTCCAAGCTGAAGGTCCGTGGGCAAGGTCTAGTCCGCGACTTCCACCATTCAGTCTCATGAGCCTTCCCAGAGTCAATGACTATATCGGCAGCATCGTCCTTACCAGTACAGGATGGCATAGGAGGATACGATTGAGGGCGATGTTGACCTGTACGGAAGAATCGCCCGCTGCGTGAGTCATCTTCCTCCATCGCGCAACAAGACAATCGCACATAGTTACCTGTTGCAAGACCCCCATCATCACGCGTCGAAGTATTCTGCTTGACAAGATTTTTGAATGCCGACGCCGTGAGGACGGATGTCCCCGGACAACAGTATTTGCGGTCTGCGTGTCAGCCGCAGAGGGAGGCCCTTTGACAGTCATGGTCGAGAGGAAACTCGAGTCACGGAAGCAGGAACGGTAGTATAGTTGGTATATTCAGAGACACTGGGTAGCGGAGGCGTTGAAGCTCAACAGGTCCAGGATGTCGGGGCGGTGAGAGGTCAGTTTGCATGATGTGCGACAAGCGCGCGCGTCGCCGCCGACGGCGAGCGCGCGGCCCGTGTCATGCCATGTCAGCCTCCGTAGCAAGTTGCTCAAATCCTCTTTGTGCCCCCATCATGTATACCGATCCTTTCGTTTCGTTGTGCAACACTGAGTAACTGGTGGAGATAATCTCCCTTGGGAACGAGGCTGTTGGTGATACTCGTCTATCGAACATAGTTGGCTACTACTAAGTAGCAAACGTCTATTCATCTGACGCTGATGACGCTTCGTAGAGAGCCATATTGACTACGTCTGCTTCGCGTGTCCGACGCGAATTACATGCTGCTGGACGTCATTATAGTGATACATCAACGCCGAAGCCCTGTCCAAGATAGGCTCCCTAAATCTATCAGTTGCAAGTTGCGCGGATACTCTCCGGCTTCTGGATGGGGAAGACCACGATGAAAACCGCCGAAATACGTAGATACGCTTGTCTTGTTCCCAACATTACTCGTATTATTTGCACTGCTTCATCAAGCTCAGAAGGCTTTGATACTGCCTCGCTGACGAAGTAGCGAGTAGGTGTTCACCACGAATCAAGTCAAGGAGAACTAATGCAATATTCATACATGTACACAATCGAAGCATCTTCGTGTGTACTCCCAAATTCCTCTCCATTGTGCTTCGTCAAGATTCGCATGTCAAGCTGTCTGAACCCGCTTTGAGCCCTGTACTGTTGCCGTTTGTACTCATGCTTTGCTAACTTTAGGGAGGACTAGATTAGCTCGTTTCTCGCACAGTCACCGGAGCACACTCACCCTCTTGAGATGTCGGAAGGTCAGATAGCTCCACGGCAACTGCATTCTCGCCACGAGGACCTCCCGAGTGAGGATGGAGCTCTAGGATTACGCCGGCACCGAAAATCTCGGTACCCGTCGAGTGTAAGTTGCCCGATGTCGTACGAAGCGATTTGCGCGTATTCAAGCTGTTCCAATCACATTCAGGGAGGTTAGCAGGAACTTCGGAAGGACCATGATAGATATCATACGCTGCGAGGAGAGTATTTGTATACACTGTGTGTGGCTATCAGTGTGGCGGCGACGCAGACGCAGACATGACAGCACGCACGTTTAGTGGCTACGAAGGACATAGCGACATATATGAAATTGTTTGGTGCGGCCAGCACCTGTTCAGTGATCGCAAATGAGACTGGCTAGAATCTGCTGGCACAAAAGTCCTTACGAATATGAAAATCAGCAGCATGAATGCACTAGACATAGGTCAGATTCGTGACATCACCCCAGTAGGGGGGCATCACCTCGTGAGCAAGCCTGAGGGTCATTGTGAGGTCGAGCCGTTATAAGGAGCATTGAGGCACTCACCAGTGGTGATTGTATAGAGCATCAATGTGTCGAGCATAGAGTCGGTGCTTATAAGCAGACATAAGACATTTTCTCACGCTGCAATCTAAAACAACGAAATGTACCTTTTCATGCCGCTTCTGCTCCGCCGCAGAGCCAGGATCAGTATGGCGGTCAGTGTTGAATCCGCAGCAATGGATATAGCGGCTGCGCAAGCTATGATCCACTTGATCAAGTGTCAATGTGTGTAGTTTCGAACGATGTAATTGACTGACGGGAACAGGAAAGTAAGCTTTGGCCCCTCCTTTGTTCACAGACATGGCAATACTGTGATCGGATTGTAAACAGGAAATTAGACAGAACGAACGACCCTGATACGGCATACCTGCTGGCTGTGGAAGCTTCGGAGAAGGTCAGAGAGACATGCATTTTATGACCTAATTATTACGTTCCTGACCTATCGAGAATCCTACTCGGGCGTTTGTGAATGCGAAGATCATGAGGTGCTGGAACTCACCAAATTGGCCAACGAGCAGTATGACCTTGTATTCAATTGAGCACAGATAGCGCATCTAACATAGATATATCTTACCACAACAACCATCCACGGACGGTACTGTTTGCCAACTAAGCCACTGTGTCAGGGAAAAGACCGTCAAGTGGTCTGGGCGGGTACTAACAAAGGTAGGCTCTGCGAACAAAGAATCTGCGAACAAATTCAATTCGCGCCTCAAGGCGTAGAATTAGAGAGCAAGACATGACGCACGCTTGAGTTAAGGCGACGACAATGCCCTCATATATTTGGTCAGTCAATCGATCTGCAGCACGAAGTAGTTTAGAGTGGCTCACCGACAAGAGTGTTAGGATCTACATGAGTCAAAATCGTGCTTGATCAGTTATAAAGATGACATTGCTCACCTGTAAGATCCTGAAAGACCCAATTCGTATGCATCGCTAATATCAAGGTCTATACAATCTAGCAAATGGTATGGCTCTACGGTGAGGGATTCAAGAGGGCGAGTATGTTCGAATAGCCAGTCACGAGCATGAAGTAACTGCGTCGAGGTTTGTATATGAGTTCTATGGGCTTTAGCATGGACAATGGACGCGAACCATGTATACATTGTTACTGCCGTTTGAAGGCTCTCGATAAGACTATCATGAGTTCGGATGATAAGTGCGAAGTCGGATAGTGAGAATCAAGCGTATCCACTTACACCACTACCAGCACCTATCATGGCAGCCTCAGCGCCCTCCACGTAAGACTTACAAAGATACGGCGCGCTACTTACAAGAAGCTTTAGTAAAAGCCGGTCACCAGGATATGTCTGAAAGTATCGGTATGTCTGATGTAGTATTCCCCCGTATAATCTGAAGGAGTAGCCATTGATCAGACTAGCGAGAACCCCAACACTCAGTGTCGCACCTACATGAGTGAAAAGTACGTTCCGATGAGGATGGCCCCAAAGGAACTGGTGAGAGACGAAAAGGAAGGTTGCGACATTGAGAGGGCAGTTCAGACTGAAGGACAGGTTGTGAGCCGAGTGCCCTACTACCGGGGGATATACTTATGTATGAGAACCATTTCTTCAACGAAGCTACATAGAAGGTAAAGGCATAACCAGAGTGGACGGGATGGAGATGAACACTTCTCCGCATCAGATATGCTGCGGAGAGAAGTGATGGCGTTCTGGAGTGTAAGTAGCCCCACCATACCGTTAGTACTACGTTACTTCAAGGGAGTCACACGTATGCCAACATGCTGTGCCTCATCTGACAGTTTGACTTGGGCTTTGAGATGGCGGGAGGCGAGATGAGGCGCGAATACGACAGCCGTTCGCACGATCGCTTAGGTGTTCAATACTGGTGGGTCGATTCTCCCCAGTCTGCCAGGACAAAAGTATATGCTAAACTGACAAGGGGGATATTGGCCCAAAAATATGGTGGAGATTGAAAATCACTCTCGCATGTTGCGCTGCCCAGGGCCAACAGCACTTTCCCAGCGTCGAGAGGACCAGGGCCACATCCCGTCATCAACGCTCTCAGGCTTGACTTGCTTCCTACTCTCTCTTGTGCATGCACTTCACTTTTGTGCTCCAATTGCTGCAAATAATCTTCAACAGCCCATGGAGAGTCTTGCGAGCTCACGTCTGTTATGTCGGTTGTTCTGTTTCAGTAACTCTGTCTTGCCTCGGCCTCATCAGCTTTTCGTATTTTGATCCTAGCGAAACATTAACCTCAGACTTCATCATGTCATAGCCCTCTGGAACGATGGTACATCGTCACTGGTGGCGGAGGATCAGTCGGTGTCGATCAGTATAGCTGTGGAGGCGAAAACTCACGTCCGGTGCGTTCTCTGTGCCTTTGCTTCAGCTGCGTAGCTCGCCGCGTGGAACACTGGTTCTCTAAAGACAACACCTTTCAGGACTCGCTGCTCCCCACACGTGTTGCCTCTATGCGTGCCGCTGATTCCGCTGATTGGTAGGCTGTGCCTTCCGCAGTGTGCTTATATGCTCTCCACCACGCGTCTGACTCTGTCGCCGACATATCTCAGCATCCGCCTTTCTTTTCCTCTACATGGACGGTACCATCTCATGCTTTCTAATTCAGGTCGACCGCCTGTGTGGCTCATCGTGAGAATGACCTCAAACTTAGATCATATCTTGCGAACACTACTATCCAGGCACACTCCAGCAATTTATTGACAGATCATCCCGCAATCAAGAAGTCCCATGAAGATGGACTTTACGGGAACTGCGGTCAGCCACGGTACATCCTTGGGCATTCGAGATTCAGTCCACATAAGTATGCAGCGCTGCCTTGCGGTAGATTCCAGTCGCTTTCACACTGAGTCCTCTTTGGGTTCTGAGCCCCTTCAACGCGGGCTTGGCAACCGACACGACCTGGTCACAAGTACTAGGCTCTTTGCGACGGCGTGTCTATTCACCTATCAGGGATACCCCAGCTCTCTCTTCAAGCGATAGTCTCAAGCGATAGTCGCCACGAGCATTCATCAATATGGCGTCCGAGCCGCTCCCGCTCACCTCAGTAGCACAGTCAACTAGCCCAACACACCTCAACAGCGGCGGAGGCTGAGAGGCATGCAGAAGTCGTAGTGTTAGGTCTTGTAGCTGGACGACTCGAATCATGGAGGCAATGTTCGCTCGATACCGATCGTAGCATGAAGATGAAGGGCCAACGAACCGGACATAAGCTGTTCGACGCATGCCCAGTTTGGAGAACCACCTGCGCGAATAAACGGCGGGGACAGCGAATTCAAACACGATGTCGACTCATTGAATGATGCAGTCACGTCACCGAGTTACAAGATGAGCGTCCAAGCTAAATAAATTGCAGTAGCGACGTGGATACGGCGACGTAACAAAGGCTCAACTTGCCTCTTCTGAAAGGAAAGGCCTGTGTGCCCATCGCCTCAGAATTCCTATGCTGAGTGGCATGGAGACCCAGGTTCGGGCTTCGGAGAGTATCTCGCCTCGACATCCACCGCGTCTTTACACGAAAAGTTGCTTCCGTGGTCCTCGATTTCGACTGTAGAAAGCCGGAAACCATCGTCGTCTGATAGCACTCGAAGTCGGCATGAAGTTCGGAACCTGACAGTGACATGAGAACGCTCACCTCCAGGCTGGTCTGATATATCAGGCAGCTCGATTGCGACTGATTGGTCGAATGGCGTGCGAGACTGCTGCACGTGCGTACCGAAGATTTCCGTTCCACCAATATTGAGATTGACCTGGTCCCTCAGCGACTGCCTCGAGTTCAGTCTGTTGAGGCTCCGAGGTCAGTGCGAACGAACAAGCGTAGATGTTCACTTGACTGAAGCGAAACTCACGCAGCGAGAAGCATGTTCGCATATACTAGGGTGAGTGCGTCAGTGCGGAGCCTTTGAGAGGAGTGTGCGCACAATGACGTACATTTCGTGCTGACCAATGAGACTCCGGTGTAGATGAGGTCTGCTGGGCGCAGAACAACCTATTCGAGACCGGAGCGTAGGTATTCAGATTTATCCTTGTAAGCAGAACTAGAGTGACGTACAAAAACGAAGAGTAGTAACATCGATACACTATATCTCTGTTGTCAGATTCAAACGTTCCTATGGGCAGCCCCGGCCTGGCCGGCCTTACCTTGTCAGAAGACCTAGAGGAAAGGTAAGATAAGAAGGGAAGCGGACCTCAACGAACTCGCCTGTGGTGATGGTGTATAGCACTAAAACATCCAATGTCGAGTTCGTACTATGAACGTGATATGAGCGTTCGGTTGCTCTCGCGATGCCCGCTGGCGTCTACCGTTTAAGACTACTTCGGCCCTGGAGTAGCGCCATGATGAGTACGGTAGTCAATATTCCGTCCGCGCAGACCGCCATGGCCGAGGCGGTCGCAATGATCCACTGTCAGACAGCGTCAGGAGGTGACATTAGGGAGGGGATTCCTATCAGTGTGCTCACCGTATACCGGACGAATGCCGAAAAACCTCGATCCGAGAGGGAGATCCTGGCAAATGGAGTGAATGCCTTCATCAGAGAACTAGCTTAAGAACGAAGCATACTCTACTATAGTAGACACTGGAGAAATCATTAGCATGTGATCGTCGCTGCAATATATCAGGTTCAAAGGCGTACCGACGCAGAAGCCTGCCGATACGGGTAGGTGAGCATGGGTGTCATCGATCCAGACGTGAACACCTAGGAAAAAGCGCGCACCGAATTCTCCCATCAAGAACAGTATCTTGACGGGTGATATTAGAGCGATCCCGCTGCATATTCGCGAGAGTACGTACCGCAAGAGAAACCCACACTCTGAAACGTTTGCCGACTGGAATAATTGCTTAAATTCAATGTTGTGTTGAAGAACGATGCTAGCGTGAAAATACTGACAAACGTAGGCCCGATGGGCGAAAAAGCTAGAGCGGAATTCAGCGGGGGGCGCAGTACGACAGATATGGGTGCTCACGCTTGGGATATGCCGATCACTAAGCCCTGTGGCTAAGTCGGCGTAGGCCCTTGACGAATGTATGGGGCACGACGAACCGTTAGAACTGGTAAAATCTTCTCTCATGAGATGAGAATTGTGCTGACTCATTGGAGGGAAACGTACTTGGAGAGTGCTATTTCCGGGTGATAGGCCATTGATACGCGATGGTCGCGAACTGAGAGGTACAAAGACTCACTGTACGGGATGCTGAAGTATCGAAGGGTCGGCAAAGCCAATCACAAGATAGTAATAGCTATGTGTGATGTGTCAATCGCTTGATTGCGCGGACTGGACGAAGTGCGACTCACCTAGTATGGCAACTGAAGGCCATATGCACCGTCTCGAGGATGCTAGCGTGAGGTGAGCGCTCAAAAGGCTTGGCTGTGCAAAAAATGAACTTACACCGTCGCGTACACCTGGAGGAGCATGACAAGGTAGAGTATCAAGTTAAGGCAGTCGCGCGGTACCGAATCCAGTGTACCCACAGCGAACTTGAGCAAGAGCCTATCCGACGGGTACAAGACATGATAGCGGTAAGCCTGCTGCAAAGTCACACCGTAAAGCCTAGCGGGCGGTGAATGACATGATCCTTTTCATGCGACACGGGAAGGCACCAACATTAGCGCGAAGAACGTCCCGAGTAGTACAGCGCCAAATGTATCGTCGAGGGATGCATCGGCGTGGGAGCCGTCCAGCCGGCGGAGTGGAGTCAAAGACGCAGGAGACATAGTGAAGGTAGCGCACCCAAGAAGCTGGACTAGAATCGAGCTTTTATAGGAGGGAGTGGGGCCACAATTACTGATGACGATCCAAGACCGCTCTGGCGACGCCGCAGAAGGGGTAGCAAACGGGGCCGACGGACATCACTGCTTCCAGACGACTCGCTGCGAAAGCATCGGATAGAGCCCTGGCGGCAAACATCGTTCAGCAAGGGATCGTGACCGAGAATTACTTACGGTTAGCGCAAGAGGCGTCAAATGTCGTAGCTGGGACTCCGGTGACACCGGTGATAGATTGGGTTCGTACGAACTGCTGACCTTGAAATTTGATCTACCGTCGCTCTAGAAGTAAGCAATGCTCTCGGATTGTGATACTAGTGGCGGGCTGGATTCACATTTGAGCGCATCTTCGAGAGGTAGAAGGGGTACGGCCGCATGCTGAGGCTGAGCGGCGTCTCGGGAGTGAGGACAGCCAGCGACGCTGCGGAGGTGCGAGCCTCAGGGTGCCGTTGTTCCCATTAATGGCTTCCATGCTACGGGTCGGTCTAAACCAATAGTGCAGCCATGGAGAACAGGACAGGTGATTGGGTTATGCGCAGACTCGAATAGAGAAGAAAAATTGGGGCAGTGCATGAATTTCACGTTCGTGGACCGCGGCAATAGGCGCTTGAGGGAGGGTGATCCCGGAGTAGAAGTCCAGTTTCTGGCAACCTCCGTTGCAAAAGAGGACGAGGTGAAGTCGATCAGGGTCGCTGTACTTTGGCGGTATGGGACTTAGCTTCAGAAGCAAGTGTATGCCATTTTGAATACGTCTTCAATACGGGACAGTGCAACAATATTGTCCATTGAGCATGGCGCAGCGGGAACGGATAAATCACCGTTAAAGAACAACGGACAGGACTGCCGAGATTAAGAGTGGCCGTGTGAATGAGGGCTGACATACTGATGGAGGTCGCTATCAGCATGTATGCTATATGTCGTGAGGACGCAACCTATCCGACCCCACATCGAATGAATGCGAGACTGGTGAAAAGCATCGTCCACAATGACTGCCAGCATAGATGAAATGCAGCCTGGGGTACAGAGTTCAGTGTACAGTTGGGAGGACTCACTGAAGAGAGCGAATTGGGAGACTCACGAAGCAGATCCTTCGGGTTTGTAACTTGAGGTCATGACAAGTGCTGATCAGCGACGAGCAGTGGACTGGGTATACTTGATGCACTGATTTCGCTTAGAGACGTCGAGGAGAGGAGCAAGCCCGAGCTGCCTTTCGTCCGAGTCGGATGACGGCGACGAAAGGGCGAGAACGTGTGTGACAGGGTGTGACCGTGATTCTAGACACTTCTGTGGGAAGGCGGACTTAAGCGTCGGGAGGCCAAAAATTGGGCGCGAGTCTGCGCTCTCTTCCTTACTCCCTCCTCCTCGTCGTTCTCGTCATCACCTCCGTCGCCCTCGCCCCCGCTTTCGCCATGCACCGTCTGTCCAACGCGTCCTCTTCTGCTGTTCGTCGCACTGCCCCGAAGGCCGCGAAGCCTGTGCTCAAGCGCGGCGCCCACAAGGAGATTAAGTTCTCCAACGAGGGTCGGGCCAGTATCTTGAACGGTGTCGACATCCTTGCCAACGCCGTCAGCGTTACTCTCGGTCCTAAGGGTACGTGTTCAATCAACTGAACTGGTGCAGGCCAGACGCGACTGACACGTCCATCTTCAGGTCGCAACGTCATCATCGAGCAGCCCTTCGGTGGGCCCAAGATCACCAAGGGTGGGTACTCTCCAACTCTTATTTGTTGATCCCATAGCTCGTGAAGTACTTGTACGGAATATGCACTCCGTTACGAAGGCATCAGGGTTCTTGAGTAGAGCGTCGTCCACGCGGGAGAGCTCGGATGACGTGTGAGATTCGCGTACGCGCGTTACTCAGCCTTCCTTCGACACTCCTGCCCGGCCTGTTGAGTTCACACCGACGCGATTTTTCACGCCATCTGCTTCGTTTTACACCTCTTCCGACGCGTCTCATCGCTTGTAACGAGCGCGCGGCTGCAACGAGTCTTACAGACGCTTTCTGTCGCTTCCCCTATGGCGCGCTCGCATATACTTACGCAGTGTCGTAGATGGTGTCACCGTTGCAAAGTCGATCACTCTCAAGGACAAGTTCGAGAATCTCGGTGCTCGGTACGTTCCCCCAAGACTTATTCTGTCCTCGTCACCACTAATACCCGGTTCCCCACAGTCTCGTCCAGGACGTCGCCCAGAAGACAAACGAGATTGCTGGTGACGGTACCACTACTGCGACTGTCCTTGCCCGTGCAATCTATGCCGAGGGCGTGAAGAATGTCGCCGCCGGCTGCAACCCCATGGACCTCCGCCGCGGCTCCCAGGCTGCCGTCGACCGTGTCGTCGAGTTCCTTTCCAGCCACACCAAGACGATCACTACTACTGCTGAGATTGCTCAGGTCGCGACTATCTCCGCCAACGGCGATGCTCACGTTGGCAACCTCATCGCTCAGGCCATGGAGAAGGTTGGCAAGGAGGGCGTTATCACCGTCAAGGAGGGCCGCACCATCGAGGATGAGATAGAGATCACTGAGGGTATGCGCTTCGACCGCGGCTTCATCTCCCCTTACTTCGTCACCGACGTCAAGAACCAAAAGGTGGAATACGAAAAGCCCCTTATCCTCCTCTCCGAGAAGAAGATCTCGTCTATCAACGACATCCTCCCCTCGCTGGAGATCGCTGCCCAGGCTCGTCGCCCCCTCATCATCATCGCCGAGGACGTCGACGGTGAGGCTCTTGCCGCGTGCGTTGTCAACAAGCTTCGCGGTCAGCTCCAGGTCTGCGCCGTCAAGGCCCCCGGCTTCGGTGACAACCGCAAGTCCATCCTTGGCGACCTTGCCATCCTCACCGGTGGTACCGTGTTCACCGACGAGCTCGACATCAAGCTCGACCGCGTCACCGCCGACATGCTCGGCTCCACCGGTGCCATCACCGTCACTAAGGAGGACACCATCATTCTCAACGGCGAGGGCTCCAAGGATGCCATCCAGGCGCGTTGTGAGCAGATTCGTGCTCTCATCGAGGACCGCACGACCTCGGAATACGACCGCACCAAGCTCCAGGAACGCCTCGCGAAGCTCTCTGGCGGTGTCGCCGTGATCAAGGTCGGCGGTTCGTCCGAAGTTGAGGTCGGTGAGAAGAAGGACCGCTACGATGACGCGCTCAATGCGACTCGCGCCGCCGTTGAGGAGGGTATCCTGCCCGGCGGTGGTGTCGCCCTCCTGAAGGCGTCGCTCGCACTTGCATCAAGCACACCCGGCGCACACGGCAACCAGCCTGTCTCCCCCGACGCGAAGCCAATCGCCACCGCGAACTTCGACCAGGAGCTCGGCGTGTCCATCATCCGCCGCGCGCTGACGCACCCCTCGCGCCGCATCCTCGAGAACGCGGGCGAGGAGGCGTCGGTCATCGTGGGCACTCTCCTCAACCAGTACGGCGCTTCCGACAAGTTCGCATGGGGATACGACGCCAGCAAGGGCGAGTACGTCGATATGATCCAGGCCGGTATCGTCGACCCATTCAAGGTCGTGCGCACGGCGCTCGTCGATGCCGCGGGTGTCGCGAGTCTGTTGACGACGAGCGAGGCGTGCGTCGTCGAGCACGAGGACCCGAAGGCGGCACCCCCGATGGGCGGCATGGGTGGTATGGGCGGTATGGGTGGCTTCTGAGCGGGCTCTGACGTGGTCGGCGGGGGCGTGTAAGTCGTCTTCGTCGTCGTTGTCGCCGCGCGCCGGAACTCTCCTGTGTCAAAAGTAATACACTGCTGCTTAGTCTTCTACTTTGCACTCGCCCATCGCACACGTCTCATCACATCCTACGTACTACATTGTCGCGCATAGTCTTTGGCTGGTTCTATGTTTTGGTCACCACATGTTGCTACGATATACCTAGATAGTTGCATAGTCTAATCGCTGTCTCTTACATCACTCACGCACTTATCAATATCATGACGCACCCTACTCTTGATCTCTAGCTTGAACAGTCGTCTTGGTGGGACATTGAACGAGGTGGGAACGCGGAGAGTTAAGTGACAGGGGAGATGTCGAATGTTTTATGTTGGCATAGATGACTGAGACGGTCAGCTGCCGTATATCACTCCGAAGTAGTTCGTAAACGCGCTCCAGCTACAAGTAATAGCATATTCCCGGGGGATGTATGACGCGCTTGGCCACAGGGTCAAAGGCTATCTCATATCCACGACTGCGTCATATATAATAGATGGACAGCAATAACGGGCAGAGCCATGTATGACGGCAGCGTAAACAGGATCCAGCGGATGAGGATGGCAGAGGTGAGATGCCGTCGGTCAGTGGTGTCTAGTAGGTACATAGATGCCGAATCCTTGACGATGAATCTCCGGAGAATGGCCCCGGCATCGCCCTCAAGCCAGACGCGAAAACCCGCTAAGGGATGCGGGACGTGAAGCACGGGTCTCGACGTGCCTCAGACAGCTCAAGTAATCTAGTACTTACTAGGTCAGAGAGGATAGGATATGTCGTCCTTGCAGTCCGGCGATGCGTAGGATATATCGCGGGCGATTATGTCGGCATGAGCGATGGTGATGTACAACACTAACGCCTAAGGTAGCACGAGAAAAGGCAGATAAGTGAGGAGGCAACTCAACAGAGAGCCGATAAATATCTGCAATGCGGGTTAGGATGGCCGATAAGAGCCCATGCTAAACATACCCTTCAGGCGGCTGAGGGCGGAAGCGTACCGGTCTCTACGCCATATCTCCTATAGCTAGCCTATTCGAAGTCGATAAGCTTCGGAATGTATCTCTCCTGACATGGTCGGGAGACACATGATGTTCGGCAGTCGACAACCGCCAAACACGATGTCCTTCTCGCGCAGGGGCTTGACGTCGTCACAGATATCATGAGGGATATGATTATGCGACTCGATAAGGTTCCGAGCCGTCTCTCTGAGAACATAGTCCATCACGACCGTGTAGAGCTTCCCATGCGAAATGGAGGAGACAACAAGAGCGGTAGGCGACGGGAATGACTGTTGCTGCTGTTCAAGGGGCGAGTTTGTCGTGAGGGAGCGACGCGAGTCCTGAACCGACTTGGTGGCAATCTGGATCGCTTTGAAAGCTCTCGTCGGTCGCATGACGTCTCATCACCAACAATCGCGAAGAGGGGGCGGACGCATGTAAGTTTTTAGAGCTGCTATTGATCGTCTTGGACGTATCGGCCTAAGGAAGAGGTTCAGAATTTGTCACAGATACTTGAAAGACTGTAGACTTGAACAGCCCACTGTGGAATGTTACCAAGGACGTCTTATTGACCAGCAGGAAACGTTTTCGATGACATCTTTCCTCATGTAGACGCCTGGCAAAGATGCGACTAGGAACTGATCGAGACTGAGTAGTCGAGTAGCCTGAGCAATCCCAGTGCAACAATATAGGAATTGTATTTCTCGCTTCGTTACATTCAGACGCGATCTAGAAGACACTTGAGGACCTTACTAATCACACGGGGAAGGAGGTTTCAATAATTCGCCTACAAACCTCTAGGAGGCGAGGGTGTTCAGGGTCGTCCTTGGATTCTTCATCCGGCTCTTTGTCACCTTCCGACAAGCGCAGCATGACACGCCTAAAAAAGCAGGTCTTTTTCTTTGTCGCGTATGGACTGGGGAGTGTTGAACGGACAGAGCGGGCAGAGATCATGCGAGACTGACGTTGCTGTACTCACGCTTCGCCGCAGAGCATGAATGCGCTTTGGCAGCAGGAATAGGACAAGACGCTAGGATGAGACTGCCGAGCAGAGGTGTATTGTATGTAGACATGTTTCGGAGAGACAAGGGGCAAGACCGAGGGTGATGGCGGGAGAAAGAAATGGAGGAGGGCAAGCGCCCCCCCCACTCTGGCTTTTTCGGCGGTCGAACGACTGATCGCTGATTTGTCGATGCTATCGCGGCTCGATGCATCTTCGCCTGCTGCGTCTTGCTATTTAACCACTAAAGTTTCCCGCTCGAGTCCTCACTGCACCTCCTATACCCCGCTACTCCCGACAGACCGATACCCGCCACGCCCATACCTCTCCCACCGCGGCCATACACCCAGATAGACTATCCACAATGGCCGACGCTAAGGCTCAGAAGAGGCAGAAGTTCGAGAGCGTCTTCCCTATCCTCCGCGACGAGCTCCTCGCCTACCTCAAACAGGAGGGAATGCCCGAGGATGCGATCACCTGGTACCAGCGCGTGCGTCCTCCCCTGTGCTTCCGTGTACCGTGTGCGCTGACTCTGGTTACATCCAGAACCTAGACTATAACGTCCCTGGTGGCAAGCTGAACCGTGGCATCTCCGTTGTAGACTCCGTAGAGATCCTCAAGGGTCGCAAGCTCACCGACGATGAGTACTTCAAGGCCGCTCTTCTCGGCTGGGGTGTCGAACTCGTACGTCCTCCCTTGTCTTAATCCCGTTTCCTCCGCGTTTTGTTTCGCGCCCCTTTCTCCCTTCCTCGCACCCGTCGCGCCTGCAAGTCACGTCCCCTCTCCTGCCATCGCACATGTTTCGTATCTCTACACGCGTTCATGAGGCTCGCGCGGGCACGATTTGCTGATAGCTTTTGTACAGCTCCAAGCCTTCTTCCTCGTCTCAGACGACATGATGGATCAGTCTGTCACTCGTCGCAGTCAGCCATGTTGGTTCCGCGTTGAGGGCGTGAACCTGATCGCCATCAACGATTCGTTCATGCTTGAGGGCGCCATCTACTACCTCCTCAAGAAGCACTTCCGTTCGGAACCGTACTACGTCCACATCCTCGAGGCCTTCCACGACACCACATTCCAGACAGAGATCGGTCAGCTAATCGACCTCATCACTGCGCCCGAAGATCACGTTGACCTAAGCAAGTTCTCACTTGCCAAGTACGTCCCTTCTTCTCCCTCTATCCCCCTCCACGCCGACACTTCGCTTGTGTAGGCACCAAAAGATCGTCATCTACAAGACCGCCTACTATTCCTTCTACCTCCCCGTCGCCCTTGCTATGTACATGAGCGGCATTCCCCACTCATCCACGAACGATCCCTACGAGCTCGCGCAGAAGATCCTCGTCCCGCTCGGCGAGTACTTCCAGGTCCAGGACGACTTCCTCGACTTCGCTACACCCCCAGAAGTGCTCGGCAAGGTCGGTACCGACATTATCGACAACAAGTGCTCGTGGTGCATCAACGTCGCGCTCGCGCTCGCAACCCCCGCTCAGCGCAAGATCCTAGACGACAATTACGGCCTCAAGGACAAGGCGGCGGAAGCGCGCGTCAAGGCGCTCTACGAGGAGCTCGGTATACGGCAGAAGTACGCCGAGTACGAGGAGGGCGCGTACAAGCGCATCATCGGCCTCATCGAGACCATCCCCCCGGAGGGCGCGGAAGTCGGCGCGGGCGACGTGAGGTTGAGGAGAGAGGTGTTCAAGGTCTTCCTTGACAAGATCTACAAGAGGCAGAAGTAGGCCGTGCGCAGCCTTTGGTCTGGCGGGGGCGAGGGAGATGGACGTCAGTTGCGTAGTACATGATATCTAGTTTCGCGATATGTATGTTCCACATGGGTGAGTAGGTGTCTTGAATATACGGTGGCTCCAATGAGGGTCGACTTCGATGCATCTCAGCTTGAGGTATCTCTTTGGGCTCTTTCCCTAGGTATCAGGGATTTCGGATGGTATCGCCCTTCGATGCCGTGAAGTTTTGCAGGCAAAGGCACAGCTCGCCGATGCTCGACTAATTCGTTCTACTCCGCAAGAAATCTAGATCAGCTGGCAGATGAGGAAGACAAGCTTGTGTTGAAGTACGGATGTCTTGTGGCGCACCAGCTCCTGCAGATTGACTCGGCCCCTGTGCGTGCGTAGTCTACCGATCAGCAACTGGCCTGCCTTTTCGTTCTCCAGTTCGGGCGAAAGCGTCACTCTACTAGTTCTCTGCACATGTAGACGCCGCAGTGAACGCACGGTATCGTGGTGGCTCCTGAATGGCGGTATTGAAGATTGATGCTGGCGCGGAGAGACCATATCACGACCGCCGTCTTTGTCTCATTATCATCATCCATGGTCGAGACGAGGCGTGATGTGTTTGAACCATTATGTCCAACATCATCATACTGTGCGCTAATGATTCTTGTGGACGGGCTGGGGGCGTCCTTTGAACCCCAACTCAATCTGACCCGGCTGCCGGATATCAACCCCGAGATCATCCGCCAACGACCAGACCAGTCCGGGGTTCTTCTGGAACATGCGCCCTACGAAGATAACGTCGGCCCTTCCCTATGTACACCGTCAGACCGTTCCGAATAGCGTCTTATAATCGCAAACAAATGTACCTCGTCGAGGATACTCTGGGCGAGCTTACCCTTGTATATCGCACTAACGGTCGACACGAGAATCTTATCACCGTGTACCTTCTTTACTGCTGCTGCGAACGGCACTTGGTATCCGGGGACACTCTGGATCTGCTGATCAGGACTGTTCCCTCCGGACGAGACATCGAGGTCTACGCCATGCTCGGCGAGAACAGCTGCGAGCTTGACAGTGTCTTCGGACCAGTCGATCACTCGCTGTGGACAACCATTAGTGTTGTGCAGGGCCGGGCCGGGCTCAAAAGCCCGGCTTAGGGCCCGGCTTTGGAGGGCTCGGGCCCACTGAACAGTCGAGCCGGGCCCTAGTGGGGGGCTCAGGCTGGGCTCGGGTCGGGTCGGGCTCGAGCCCGGGCTCTATGTCTGTCACATAGGAACGAGGATTTTGTATTCAAAACATACCTTTTCTCATTAAAAACACCTGCTGTACTTTACAGAGAGTGTCGGAAGCACGATTGGGGCCGCGAAAGGCAAAGAGAGAACAGTAGGAGAATGATGAATACCGCAGGAGAGTAGTGAGTGAATCAGGCAGCTCTAGCGCTCATCCGACTCACATGTTTCGTCTGCTCCAAGTCCGCCGGAAGGCAGTACCGTCAAGTTTTGTCAATTGTTACTGATGTTCTCCAGCTTTGTTGACCTTGTAGCATCCCAGTAAACTGTCCCAAACCCTTATACAGTTGGACACTGAGACCTCCCATAAGCCCGGGCTTGAGGGCCGGGCTCGGGCTTGCAAACACTCAAGCCCAGCCCTCAAGCCCTGAAAGCCCGGCAGCGGGCTGGGCTGGGCTGGGCTTTTGAGGGCCGGGTACCCGGGGCTTCAGGGCTTGAATCCCGGCCTTGCACAACACTAACAACCATGCTGGTACTGCATCAAGGGTGTGCTTACTTGCTATCAACGACGTGTATTTGCACCCACTACAAGCTCGCGCAATAGATCCTTGTCCCGCTTGGCGAGTACTTCCACGTCCAGGACGACTTCCCCGACTTTGCCATGCGCCTCCAGAGGTACTCGGTAAGGTCGGCACGAACATTATTGACAACTAGTGTTCATAGTGTGTTAATACCGTACTTTCGCTTGCGACCCCAGAGCAATGGAAGGTCCTTGATGAAAGCTACGGCATGAAGGATAAGACAGTCGAAGCACATGTCAAGGCGCTGTAAGAGGAGATTGGCATCCAGGAGAGGTACATCGAGTATGAAGAGGGCACGTACAAGCGAATTATATAGGTCTCATCGAGACTATCCCTATTGAGGGTGCAGACGTCATTGCGGGTGACGTGAAGATGATGAGGGAAGTGTTCAAGGTGTTCCTTAATGAGGTCTATAAGAGGCAGATGTGAGTCGCTCACGGCTTTAGGTTAGGTCGAGGGCAAGGGCAGCAGTTTAAAGTGGACATCTGTTCCGTTGTACATAATGTCTATTCATACAATTCATGTTCCTCTTGTACTGCTTAAGTATATATATGGAGATGTGGTTTCATATTTCTGCTGAAAATGGTAAACTACTGGAAGTCTGAAAACCCAAAAATCTGGAACAAGGTCTATAGCTCCATAAAGACTAAAGCAATTATCTCTAAACTTAATAGAGCTCGTGGGGAAGGTCATAAGGCACCTGGAGTACCAGTTTGCTCCATATACATCAATCTAATTGCGGCTCTATGGACCTTGTCCCGCCCAAAATGCAGAATCAAGGGGCTTGATTCTAGATTTCAAAGGATAGGCCACGACGAGTTTGAGGTCGAAAAGATCCTGGACTCACGCGTCAACCGTGGATACATGCAATACTTCATCAAATGGGCTGGCTACGATGTCTCTGAAGCAACTTGGGAGCCTGTACGGAATGTCAAATACGTGAAGGAGCTACTCGATGAGTTCCATGCACTCCATCCAAACGCACCGCAACCAATCGCTCTCAACAACCCACGACCAGTCGCCCGGGAGTTTCAACGCAATATCTGGTTTGAACACTTCGCAGGAGCTCAGATCTTGAAGAGGGGGTAGTGTCACAGTTTTCTCGTGCCACGTGACCTGGGGGTCATGTGTACTGGGACAGACACTCACCTTGACCGCGGACAACTCGTATCGGAAAGTGGTTATGGGATATCGTCTGGTGGGCCGACCCTAGGGCAAAATAAACCCTAGGATGCAGGGGTTAAACCCTAGGGAACCCCTAACCCCAGGGGGGCCCCTAACCCCAGTGGATACCTAATCAGGAAGGTGGTCTAGGGTAACACACGTGACTGATTAGCGCCCATGATCCCAGGGCACACAGTAGAGGACACTGCGCGCACATACGAGAGGAGAGGATACACACTAGCATATACTTGTGGTACTGGGAGAGAGACACACGGTAAATATGACTTGGGCACAGACATGTTTGAGAGCACTACATGGTTGTGATTGTCCGTCCCAGACGGACACCACGCAGAC